TAAATTCACGTAGGGAAAGAAGAAGAAAAGAAGTGGCATAAAAGGGAAATCTTTCATTAAAAATAACTAGGACTACCAGAGATATAATTTCATTTCTACGAATTTTGGTGTTATCTGTGTAGCTAAAGTTTAAGTGCAAGATGTAATGCTGCTAGTCTTACGATAATCTTTAAGACGGCACTGTAGTTAGTGTCCCATAACAGTAGTGTTATTTAAACGATGTAGAGCTTTTCGATACCAAGCATATTTGCCTTGCAATAACTTCTTAGTTACGTAATCTATAATTTTTTTGTTTCCCGTGGATAAAACTTTTTTTAGAAATTCCATGGAATCGTTTTTCCTCTTTATGCATACCGTATATTTTATTCCATGCCACGATCATATTTCATAATTTTCTTCCAGTCTAGCTATTTTTTCTTTTAGTTTAATTTTATTTGATTCACGGGTAAAAAAAACCTATTGATCCCTCTGTTTTCAACATTTGTAATTAAGTCTTTTTTTATATAGATTTTATGCATTTTTTTTCGTGTTTTGGATAGCATTAAATGTTTAATCATAATTTTTTAATTACAGTTTTTTATTTGGTTTAATCTTAGACTTTGTTATTTTAATAATGTTGCCGACATATTGTATAATTGTGAAAAAGCCATTCGTCCGAATCACAGAAATTGTAAATATATGCTTCCGACATATCAGAGAAATCAGATAATTGTCTGAAAGAGATTCATGCTTGGGAATCATCAGTCTTTTTCTTCCATATTTCATAATAATTTTTTAAAGAAGATTTTTACCTCATTCGGTGTTTGTTCCACCACATCTCGGCGAATATAATATTTCGGGCAAATTTCACGGGATTTATGGGTCTTGAAACTTTTTCACGATATGTTTGCGATATTACTAACCTTTCTGATATCAAGATGAACCCACCGATAGTTATGCTTCCTTCAAACCTTTCCACTCTTGAAAGGGACAGTACATGTTTTCTTTTCTTCATTATTCCTTTCCTGCAATTTTGCTGAGTATGTGGTATTTAGACTAATCGTATTTGTACATGTTGTTTATAATCCGTGATCCATACTGAATTCTTTTGAGAAGTACTTTTAAGAAAATAAGCATCTTACTATAGTTTTCCTTTATCTTTATGGAGGAAATAGGTGTTTTAATGTTTACTGGGATTACATAGGATAGATGCAATTATCAATTAATCGAATGCGCAAATATCTTGGCAGTTATAAATCATTCCTTGTTAATATAGATTACGCTGTTACATTCTATTTCCGAGTTATACCACTTTCATAAAATCTAGGTATTGTTGTGTTTTACTGACGTACTCGTTGTTTCCTCTTCTTTCAAACTTTGCAGTTATACTTGTAAAAATTTACTTTTGATACTTATTTAACAATAAATTATGGTTATTATGGTTTAATTGTTGTTTTCATTTTTTTTTTCGTTGCGCTGCAACATCAAAGTTACGCATTTTTGCTGCAGGATAAAATTACATATTAACTTTGTAGTTTCTTTTCACTAGAGTAAATCACAAACTTTGTAGATTTCTCGGAATAAGCCTTCAAAACTTTTAAGTCTCCTGTTCTATCGGTATTAGAGCATGCTGTTCGTGCATTTATCTAGCCTAACAGTAATAATTTTCGGTTTGAAATTAATTTTAACTGTAACCACCTTATGATATTTGACATAAGTTGTGTGATTTGTGCAGATTCCGCAACACCAAATTGAATGCATCATTTTCTCCAAAGGTTTCACTTTAGCGGTTGCTAGGAGACAAGGAGTTATTACCCGGGTTTTTACCTTTTTCACATTTATAATTGTGTCGGAGTTTGCATGTCGAATAAAGTATGCGAAGAAGGAATGAAATGTAGTTAGACATTATTCGTGTGGCACATCTAAAGATAAACCGAAAACAAAAAAGCAGTGATTGTGCCGGATACTGTAGTACATTTTCCGATCGTCCATGAGCAATGTTTGGGTAAAAACAGGACTGATGTGGAGCATGTTAACCGACGAATACCATGTAAATCGTAAGCAATGGTGCGATTGTTTTCATTAGCAATTTTTTTACCTTGGAAATGGAAATTGTCTTGCTCCCCAAAATTATGTACCGATTGAATACATTGATAAAACTGAATGATTTTACCAAGAATTGTAACCTTTTTTTCAAAGGTAAAAATTTCAATCCTTCAAGTTCTCTATGACAAATTATTCGCATCCGCATATTAATCAAATCAAGTCCCTCTATTCTTAACTCGAAGGGCAGGCCAGTATTAAAGAAATGTCTTAATCATTTTATTTCATAATATTGTCACTTTAACTATCACTTTCAACATATGACTAGAAGATAGATATAATATTAAGGTCTTTCCCTCTTTCTTTCATCCCTTAATTAAAGTGAAGGATAATGCTGAACATATCGTCAGAGATGAAGTAAGTATGAGGCAATTAAGCCTAAAGTTAATGAGGAAGCTTGCAGACAAAATTTGTATGAAAGCTCGATGATTAAAAACTCATCACCGTCATAATACCCATTTATTGAATTAATCCACAACCAATTTATTCCTTTATCTAGGCATGCCATTTTCAAAATAACCGTTATGAGAATAACATTCTCTGTTTTCCAGTCTTCTATATCAATTTTCCAATTCATTTGAAACTATACCAAAAGAAGGGAAAGAGGACGATTGAGGGAAAAAAAGGTGTAATAAGCGCAACTGCGGTGCCACGATTAATTAGCAATAGCTATATATGAAGTGTGCTTGGATTCGAGCTGGAGCTACTACTCACTGAGGAAAGGGAAGAAAATTGATTTAATTTAATCAAACATATAATTTTATTCCTAAAGTTTGTCTGTCCCTCTCTCTGACATTCAATCCTATCCGTTAATTCAACCCATCTTGCCGTATTATCCTCATCCTCTCCATATCCTCAATATATTTTACTTGCTACTACCACTTCGTTTCCGGGAACCATTTCTTATTTCAATGCTCATTGTTCACATTGACTAATAGAAAGACGGGCTTACTACTATTACTACTGCTACTACTGCTATTACTGCAACAACAACAACAACTAGTACTACTATTATTATTATTATTATTATTATTATTATTATTATTATTATTATTATTATTATTATTATTATTATTATTATTATTATTATTATTATTATTATTATTATTATTATTA